CCTAGGTAATGCAGTCCCGCTGGCTGCCCCTAGAGCCGGTAGCCTGACTGCGGGTAGTGGGGCGCGAACTCCCCTAGTTCCTTGGTGATTGATTCTGCCAGAGACCCCACCTCTTCTGCCATCCGAGACATTGATTGAAGCATCCGTAACCTGTAACATTGTTTCCACCTTTTATAAAAAATAATGTTTAGATTGGTCTTCATCTTTACATTTCTTTAATTCTTTCCTCTGTTTTAAAGTTAAGTCATTGGAAATGCCATATCCCTTTGACCTAAGGGAATCTCTCAAACTTAGAGACTTCATCTTATCCTCCCAGTGCACACGTTTAGCGATCACAGGGCGTGGTCTATCCGTGTTAGGTTGTCCTGTTCTATGTGCCCTCTCAATGTCTCTTGGAACAAACAGATCTATATTATTGGCCTCCTTGGCATTGTTCAACACTTCCAAAGTTTTATTTGCAGATTGCATAGGATTCGCTCGGTCCCTCTGGAATACCACACAAAATTATATTATTTCTTCGACCCCCTTCTCTCTAGATTCTTTAGACGTATATCAACATTGTCAAAGTTATAATATACATCTTCTAGTTTTTGACAGACCGCATCCACATTAAGCCTAATTGTATCTTGTTCTCCCTTGTCCGTGCTCGCTTGATTTCATAAATCTGTGACGTCACACTGTAATGTTTGTAATTCTTCTTTCACTGAACCAATTTCGGATGCCTTGATTTGTTTAATAATTGCCGATTTCATATCATCCAGATCCTTACTAAATGGGCCAGGGTTCAATTCAACATCATCTGACAGGTGATATTAGCAACAGAGACCATATACGATCTCTGTTACCAATGATTGATACACAAGGACAAAACAGGCGCAACCAACCTCGGTCCGGAATTCGATATGTGGACAAAAGTTCGCAACCCTGATACTGTGTGGTGGATTTGTCGATATATCGCATGTATACTTCATCTTATCTACGATGATCGTACCTGAGGTATATATTGAGAGAAGAAGTACTGTGCACAAGAGTAGTCGATAGGCCATGTCAGTCCCGGCTGTCCATTCCGATGTCGTCGAATAGGGTCTGATTTTCTCAATCTCCCTGTGTCCTCGGGCCGGTACAAAACATCCGACCTTGGCTCTCCAGACATCTGTCGAGACCCCCATTTTGTCCCAAAGTGCTTGATTAGGTTGGCCTAGGCTCCGAACTCAATATTTTTCTTTTTTTTTACGAGAGACAAAGCGAGATGCAACCACTCCCCAAGGGAGCTAACTATGGACGTTTTGCATAGTATGATTAAACACAAATAACTGTATCTTAGGTATACCTTTAGATGCAAGACATTTGTAAAATCAAAAATTATTCGTGAGGGATTCTTTGACCGAAGAACTTGAAGTCATACGCGCATTCTGACTGGTTTGTCGTATTTTCGCACATAACATTCATCGATAGGAGGACGAGTCTTCTTGCAGGTTACGGAATGGGGCGAGTGGTGACGAATGTCTACCCCGCCGCCCCTGGTACAACTGAAACACTGTTGGAAGAGCTGCTCAGCCTTACTGACTCATACTTCCGAATTTATCGAAAACGTCCTTATGAATTCAGTATATGACGATGTGACAACTCCATTTTATCACTCCATATTTCTGTTGAATATAAACTGGTGATAATGAAGTAATAGATCATAATGTTTTTAATTCAGTTGGTTGACCTCACGCTACATGAAACTGGTGATGCTCAGGGGAAATACAACTAGACCGCGGTTTAAACTGGAAATCCCTGTAACAGCTATTTACTGCAGCCAAACTTCCTAGATCAGTCATGAATCGGGGTTTTGCCTTTCCGGTTTAATCCCGTTGTGACCTTTCGTGTATTTATCACATCCCGTGGCCTGTGATGTCTTTGTCGTAGTTTCTAGAATGTGTGATTAACGTGAAGGGGGAACAATGTGGTTCAGTCGATGTGCAGATCATATGGTTGCCGAAAACCTATGATCGTCGTTCGAATCCCGGTTCAACAAAACCGGGTCTTGGTTTATTTGGACCATGCCCTTGATTGTGATAAAGTGGTAAACGCCTGAGATCATCACTTCGGGCTTTCTTGTCATATCATGCAGTCACGCCGATATAACTGGAATATTGTTCAACGCGGCGTTTAACACAATTAACTCACTCACTAAATGTGACGCAAACCGATAGATGATGGCATCCCTTCTTCATGAGATGAAAATGATACACAACTATAAATGACTTTGTTCTGGCAAATTGGCAATCTAGGCAAGTTAGACGCAATTTTAAGTTAACTTATAGTCTCAATACACAGAGGACATATCTCAGTTTTATACATAATGCTAAATACAACGTCTGATTGAATCCGGGGTCGCCCAGTCGTTTTGGGCGCCGCAGAGTTGTGCCAGAAACTAAGGTCTAGGCCGAGACTAATGATCGATGAATGACTAAAGTCTGAAACCTCGCTTTGAAATCCATTAATAGTGCAATTACGTTTCGCCATGTCATCACTATCATGACTGAAGCTAGGTTTGAAGGAGGGTAGCCTATTTTTCACTGAGAACATATTCAACATGGACATGTCTTTTTGCCAAGGTGTAAAGATACGACCCAATCGTCCAAGGCGCCGAAATTCGCAGTGCAGAGTTGTACCCCTTGAACGTACAAGGATCCTAAAATCCTGGATTCGAAGCCACGATTCCTCTGGTTATGACCCTTGCTTGGATGGAGTTTCGTCCTTGGTGGGTTCCGTCAAGAGGTGAAGAGGCGTCGCTTTGTGTCCCCTACAGTACATGGGGGTCAAGATGTAATGCTAACCAAAGAAGCCTTTACCCCAAGCTGAAATTTTGACAACAATTTTTTGTTGAATTACAACATTAGAATAAACGTTAAACAAACCTCTCTCGCTATCCTGCTCCGGTTTTATCTCAAATATATGACACTAGCAGTTACACCTGATTATACACGTGTACGTTTTCAATACATTGTAAAACATGTGTTAAGAATGTACACACTTACAAGACTTTAGGTTTAAACAAATTTTAACATGTGTTTAAATCCTAAACGGAATACTCATTTAGTGTTTACTATCTAAACATGTTTAGGGTCTAAACATGAAATGTCTCTCAGGCTAAACACCACCTTAACACAACATCCCCATAGTATGAACAAGTTTAGAATCTAAACATGTTTATGACAAAATGCACATCAATGTTTATTATCCTAATAATCTTAACATGTTTAGAATTGAAACATGTTTCATAGAGTGCATAACACTGGGCATTAAATCAAATATGGATAAGAGATAAACACGTCCCATTTTTATTCTGTAAACCTATTTGTCAATATATATTGAGTGAGTGAGTTTGGTTTAACGCCGCTTTTAACAGTATTACAGTTATATCGCGGCGTGTCAGCTTAATGTGGGAGGGAAGCCCGAAGTGATGCAGGTCTCAGACGTTTACCACTTCGGGGAAACCCACGAGCACGGGTTTGGTGCTGACAAACCTAGAAACATGATCGGGGCGAACCGGGATTCGAACCCACAATCATAGGTTTCTGGCGTGCCCAAGGGACGCAACTCTGCACAGCGAATCGCGGCGCCTTAGACGACTGGGCCACCCGTGCCCCCCAATATATATCGAAATTAGATGTGCAAATCAGATTCACAGGCACTTGTATAACACAGGTACCACCAGGTCTTACAAAGAACTTGTACAATATCAACATTTACAAATAAACCAAGTTAAGGTGATGATGACTAGGAAAAATGACAGGTGCGAAGACAACCGTCTTCAAAGCAGAGTGACGTCAGGAGGTGCGGGTTCGTATCCCGCCGAGGTTTTAATAGTGTTATTATACAGGGAGTTGACAATGAAATTATACCTGATTGCTACGTATGTGATAGACCCCATATTTTTTAAATTTACCTCCATTCTTCTATATCCCCATTATTTGAGGGACGGTGGGGTAGCCCGGTGGGTAAAGCGTTCGCTCGTCACGCCCAAGACCCGGTTTCTATTCCCCCTGGTACAATGTGTGAATATTTCCCCACCGTGATATTGATGGAATATTGCTCAAAGCGGCGTAACACTATACTCACTCAGCCACCCTACTATATGCTGAAAAAAGAAATATATAGAAGGCGCCCCTTTATTAAACTACCTACAATGAATTTCAAAAGGGGAATACGAAGTTTTCCCACAATCAAACCCTGAACACGTTTATCTGTAAAACACAGTCTTAAATATGTTGTGACCGTAAACGCATCAAGGGTATAGGACAAGAAATGATTTAGGTCTGTGTTTAGGATCTAAACATCTAAACACACATTTACAGTGCAGTCTTTCCGTTATATCACGGCGTTTCAGTTTGATGTGGGAGGGAAAAGATGCATTAGAGTTGTATTGAAATGTGAAATTAGAGCAATTGTTTATTGTGAAATAATTAAACTCCAAATCAACATGAAATATATTTGAAGTTTTGTATATGTATCATAGTAATCCACGAAAACATAACATTGACTCTCAAATAAATAAATAAAATATTAAGGTGAGAAATCAGTTCCAGAGTCGATTGTACGATTCCAATTTTATCATGAGCATGTGCTTATGAATCACCATCAAATAGTGATGTCTCCAGGTGTTCGCAAAAAGGTGAGCGTATCCTGCCCCACCAGGGGCACCGGTCCGGGGTAAATACTAAAAGTATTAGTATTCGTTAGCACATACAATATTTGATCAGTTGATTATTCATATACGCCAATTGCTTGTATACAGTATGGTTAAGGTTACTCCACATCATATCACGGGTCGTGCAGCCACCCACCCACACTACCCCCCGCCCTCACCTAACCCTTCCCCACCCCACCCCACCCCACCCCCCGCCCCAACCCACCTCTCCCTCCCCGTTTTGCTACTTTGAAATAAGGGAACTTCGTCTCACAGTTAATACATATACTGCACTCTCTTCTAAATCCCAGTTTGATCAGTAAACTACTTCCTTCTTCATATGTGGATATATACCGAGAGTGATTCGTGAGACGTCAGTCGGTGCGCTCTCCTGAATGCGTGCGTGTATTTAACTGCAGCTTTGTATATCACATCTAACGGTATGTATAACACCATGTACTATTTAACATAGGCGAACCTGTTTCAGAACTACACACTTAACACAATGAAATGTCATTGATTATTATTTCAAACATTATTTGTCATCATTGAGTTTACGGACCAGTTCATATGGTTTCATCTAGAAGGCGTTCTTATTTGTTTGTTTATCAATACATTTAAAATATTACATTATTTTGTCTTAGGGAATAATGCAGAAATTATATATTTCAGTTCAATCAGGATGAAAGGTCTGAGCAGCTGTCTGCCCATGTGTCTGTGTCTTGCTGTCTGTCTGCAGATTATCTGCGGGGAAGATACCCAGCAAGTTGACACGCCTCTGTCCCGACAAAAGAGGTTTGACTTTGACTTTGACAAAATATTAAAGGGTTTGAAGACGGCAGGCACCTTCGTAAAGACGGCCACCAACCTTCTTGGCCAAGGGAATTCAACGTTTGGAAGATTTATTAATAGGCTCCCCTTCTTGGATCTGCCAGATGCCAAAAGCATTTTAGGCCGATTTGATGACATGATGAAGAAAGAGGCCATGACGCCAGTTCAGATGGACCTCGCCCACCAGTTGATGGACGCCCTTAATCATACAATCTCGCTAAAGGAGCAGTTCGAGGAAAGTAGCGGTACGTTATTAACGAGAACACTCACTTTCGTTACAGCGGACACGTCTATAGGGGCATTAAAATGCTGCTGGGATGTGGTTCTGGTGTATGGGGGAAGTCATTATGCTGAAGTGGACTGATCGCTAGCCCAGTAGGTATAGCTTGTGCCGAAGTGTCCGGCTCGATTCGATAGATACATGTACATGCCACTTCCAATGTGGTATTGCTGGCATATTGTATAGGCCATTCTCACTCAAATACAACTTACGTGGGAGGACACATGGTCGGCAACCCTATCTCAGTTTAACAGTTTCTCGTCTCATGAATGACAACTAGTAGTTATTTTTCTCGTACAATTTACTTTCAAGTACAGATTAAAGTACATTGAATGCGACTGTAAGTTTAAGATAAAATAATTGGTACTTGTCTGGTTGGACTTCATGCAAAACTATTTTTAAGTACAAAGCAATTATGTTTTACACACCGAATCAGTAGTTTAAACCCGGATACTCTCAGAGCAACCGTCTCTGATAGTTGAAGTCTAAAAGGCAATAGGTTCAAGTGAGAAAGAAGCTGGTGAGCGAACGCTAACCACATGGCCACATCCCCGACTGACACAAAGACGTTTATTGATGTCACAGGTGATCGTGGATGACCCAGTGCAAAGTTGCGCCCCTTAGATATATATGTAGGGATCGTATGGTTATAGTCAGTAACGTAGCTGATATTGTATCCTTAAATTGCTCATGTCATCACCCACTAGATCGACTGATCCTGTCACGAGTACTTACAAGCTTCCGTGATAGGTGAAAGGTTGCGGCGAAGGCGTGAACACACTCAGTTGCTGTAAACCAGGAAGAAAACCATTTGTATTGATGGGGCGGTGGGGTAGTCTAGTGGTTAAAGCGTTTGCTCGTCACGCCGAAGACCCGGGTTCGATTCTCAACATGGGTACAAATTGTGAAGCCCATTTCTGGGCCCACTTGCACAAAGCGATCTTAGCGCTAAGAAGGTCGTAACTCCCATACTTTAACATAGGCTTACGATAGTCTTAGCGCTAAGATCGCTTTGTGCAAGTGGACCCTGGTGTCATCCGCCGTGATATTGCTGGAATATTGCTAAAAGCGGCGTAAAGCCACACTTACTCACTCACTTCTGTTGATTACAGAACATTGTTCTTGTACCTCAGGGGGCACGGGTGGCCCAGTCGTCCAAGGCGCCGCGATTCGCTGTGCAGAGTTGCGTCCCTTGGGCACGCCAGAAACCTATGATTGTGGGTTCGAATCCCGGTTCGCCCCGATTATGTTTAAAGGTTTGTCAGCACCATACCCGTGCTCGTGGGTTTCATCGAAGTGGTAAACGTCTGAGACCTGCATCACTTCGGGCTTTCCTCCCACACGCCGTGATTTAACTGGAATATTGTTCAAAGCGGCGTTAAACCCAACTCACTCACTCATTCACATTCTTGTACCTCAACATGTTCTTGACCATGTCGTATTATTCCATTTCCTGTTCTTGTAAATGCAACAGTACTCTTCTTGTTCAGTTTCTGCTCCTGTTCTATTTTGTTCTTGTTGACCTCCTGATTCAAGAGCCTGTTTCCCCGCTGTCTTTCTTGTTTACTTTCACACTGTTCTTGGTCTCTTTCCTGCTCTTGTTCTTGACCTTGATCTTTTTGTTTCTGATTCTGTTGTACCTCCTCTCGCTCTAAGTCGTAGACTACATGCTATTTGTATATATTTGTTTATCGTCTTCAGGTCAGAAACAATTCGATTTGGTCAGTCTGTTGGCGGGACTAAGGACTGCCGGCACTGTGACAAAGACCATCACCAACGTCCTCGGCTTCAGAAACTCCGCTTTCGGAAGGTTCGTCAACCAGGTGCCTTTCTTGGACGTACCTGATGCCAAGAACGTCCTTGAACATGTGGAGAACATGATGAAGACAGAAAAGATGTCAGAGGTCAAGATGGACCACGCCCATCAGCTGATGGAGGCTCTGGAATACTCCATCCAGATGAAGGAACAACTAGGAGAGGGCAGTGGTAAGTTCTCTTTCAACCAGGTGTAACTTAAATATTGTCCAAGAAGGAGTTAAACCCACTCAGGAGTAATTGATTGGCCTAAAGAGATTATCGAACTTTGTTGTCTATAGGAACTTTTGGTTAGAAAGTAGTCTTGCAGTCAGAGAGTTAAATTACGCAGCAAGCTTTAAATGAATATCTGCTGATGAGTTTACTATTTGTTTAAATAAATTCGTGCATGGGTTTGTGTGTTTCAGGTTCGTCAACATTGCTGCAGACATCGACCTTGATGATGCTGCCGGTCATGTGTGCAGTGAAATTTACCATATAAATGTGTGGACAAGCATGTTGCCGGGGACTAATTGCTCATGATCAAATTCTCTTTGAGTTGCGTCCCCTCATCTGTGCCAGGATCGGCTTGTCGATTCACGGAAGAGCTCCTATTATTATCCTCGCCACCATATCTTATAGTAATCGTCTCGGTGTCCGCGCTCTGATATAATTGAAATAAAACTATTTCTCAAACGTTGTACTTGTTTAATTCACTATATCACAACTGCCACAGGGTGTGCTGGGGGCAGTGTCGACCCTCACTGTGAGCGCTAGCCCAGTGCCTGGCCTCTGCGTGTGTACGCTCTCTACTAGTGAATGAGTAGGTGAGTGTTCTTTAACACCCTAGTCAGCAATAGTCCAACTGTACCTTTAAGTAACCGTGCGTGCGTGTGTGCGTGCTTGCGTGCGTGCGTGCGTGCGTGCGTGTTTTGTACCTTGGGTGCGCCAGAAACCTATGATCTTGGATTCGCCCAACTTGTTTCTAGGTTTGTCAGCACCACACCCGTGCTCGTGGGTTTTACCGAGGTGGTAAACGCCTGAAACCTGCACAAACAACACCGGGTTTCCTCCCACGTTAAGATGACACATTTAGCGGCGCTGTAAGTGACGTTTAACCCAACTCACTCACTCACACGTCGTAGGGGTAAGACTACACTCCGTCAACCAAAAGTTTGTTTGTCAAACGTCCCTTTCTCTCTCTCTCTCTCTCTCTCTCTCTCTCTCTCTCTCTCTCTCTCTCTCTCTCTCTCTCTCTCTCTCTCTCTCTCTCTCTCTCTGCTTATGTCGGTTTTTAGGGTGCTAGCCCACAGTGATAGCATAAAGAAGTTTAACATGAATATTCAACTCAAAGTATACTGACTCCGAGTCGACAAGAAAGATGTACCAGTGTATGTATACGTAGCACTTCACACAGCAATCTGTGTGTGGAATCTGTCTAAACCGGACTCACTTGAGAATGGAGGTCAAGTCTGGTTTAGACAGCAGTCCGTATTATGCGGATCGATAGGAAGTATCTCAAAGGGAATCTTTGACATTGATGCCAGTAAAAATCAGATGGGATAATGTAAATGCAAATTTAACGTAAATGGAAATGTAACTTTGACGTAAATTTAATGTAAATGTAAATTTAATGTATATTTAATGTTAATGTAAATTTAATGTAAATTCAATGAAAATGTAAATTTAATGTATATTTAATGTAAATGTAAAAGTTGTCCTGCTGTTATAAATATATCGACTTCCGACGTTTTTATCAGGAAATGATGTGCGTTTGTCTCTCACTTGATCTCTAGGTTCATGTTCATATAAACGTTATATTAATTGTTTTTCAAACAACAAGGATATGAACTAGTGGACGGGTTGCTGAGTGTAAGAGCAATGTGTCCGGAACTGTTAACTTTAATTGTCATCCTGTCCGGAACAGGCTGTCCCAGAGAATCGTGCACGTCATGCACATTCAAACTCTACTGCAGTTTCCCTAGTTTCACTCGTTCACGTAACTATCCCATTACATGGCACAATCCGCGACATCCGTGGTCTATAATTACACGATTATCATCCACTTCAAAAGTCTACATACGACCGAACACCGCCAAACGGACAGCACACATCGCTTATTTTTATATATTTTTGTTTGTTTGTTTAAGGCCGCACTCAGCAATATACGTAATTAGGATACGATGACATGCATCAACGAAGTCAGCGAGCCTGACCACCCGATCGCCTTTTACAACAAACATGGGTAGCTGAAGACCAATTCTAACGCGGATCTTCACGGGTCTTATATTCAACGGATATATGTAAAATATGCTAGATCTAGATCTAATAGTTTAGTCTAACCGTGATTCTAATAGTCGTATACAGGAATGTGCCGAACTGACTGTAATCCAAACAAAACGATTTCGGTTTAGGTTACAATAGTACAGGCATGACACATGTAGTGTGAGGGAATACTTCCTTACAGGCCATGAGGTAATAGCACGCGTGAGTCATCTTTCCGCCAAAGATCTATATTCAGCCGCGATGACTGGCCCATGGTTTTTTTTTATTGTCGATTGTCTCTGTCCGCCTCAAAACGACTATTGAGCAAACAAACTACCACGCCTGTGTAGAGACGATTGGCAACTTATAACATGAGACGTTTCCATCCCCACAGAAAGGGGATGGTGTCCGGATATCCCCTGGTGCCATTCAGATCCACTCGGCTTATTCCGTTGATCACATTATACCTCGGCGGTGTAATGATATTTTAGATATCCCTCCGCATAAAATTAGCACGACATGACGGTCCATTTTGAGAAAAGCTAATTCTGTTTGTAAGAAACAAAAAATATGTTTAGATCACAGCTCGAGGACACACGGTACGATTTGTTTTGTCTGAGGCATTCTGGAGAAATTCCAGCATTTCAAGCGAACATTTATTATTTTGTATACATTTTTCTCAAACATCAAATTCCATTTCAATTTTCAACTTTAAATCAAACGGACGGTTGTTAAGAGACGTCACATGAGGGGGTGATGTTCATGAAAGACCCAGACACTGGCAACATGATGAAATTGTCATTTGATATGTCTTTGTCCAGGGTGAGTGAGTGAGTATAGGTTTACGCCGCTTTCAGCAATATTCCAGCAATATCACACCAGAAATGGGCTTCACACATTGTACCCATGCTGGGAATCGAACCCGGGTCTTCGGCGTGACTAGTAAACGCTTTAACCACTAGGCTACCCGACCGCTCTATGTTTGTCCAGGATTTATGTGTCAGATGGCGGTTATATTTCACGAAAAGGGGTCTTAAATGGATTTGACATTTGAAGTCCCCGTGTCAAGGAGCGAAAGTTGAAGATTTATTTAGTAACGCTTAGAGCACTAAGTAGAACGGCAGGATGTGAAATATCAAAAGCCATTTATTCTCAATTCGGGATTTTGTTTGTTTGTTCATTCTTTAAGGTTGATTGATGATTGAACTTAAACCACATCTTCATATTATTTCCAATTATTGATCGGTGTTCATTATTTTGTATCAACGAAACTGAACATTCAACAGTTCAAATATTCTTGTAGGGGAGACAGTTAATCGTTGAACTATAATAAAATATGTTGACCATGCTGTACTACATAAATGTACGTTTGTCCATTTGGAAATCGAATTCTAAAATCTAAAACTTTACGTATTACTATTTCTTGAAATGTTTTTACACATTTGATTAAGTTCTACCTGTTTTTTACTGAGAACTTTAGGAAACCCAAAGACTGTAGCACTCATAGCACAGTCTAATGTGAAGATTAGGAAACTGAAGACTGTAGCACTCATAGCACAGTCTAATGTGAAGATTAGGAAACTGAAGACTGTAGCACTCATAGCACAGTCTAATGTGAAGATTAGGAAACTGAAGACTGTAGCACTCATGGCACAGTCTAATGTGAAGATTGGGAAACTGAAGACTGTAACACTCATGGCACAGTCTAATGTGAAGATTAGGAAACCCAAAGACTGTAGCACTCATAGCACAGTCTAATGTGAAGATTAGAAACTGAAGACTGTAGCACTCATAGCACAGTCTAATGTGAAGATTAGAAACTGAAGACTGTAGCACTCATAGCACAGTCTAATGTGAAGATTAGGAAACCCAAAGACTGTAGCACTCATAGCACAGTCTAATGTGAAGATTAGGAAACTAAAGACTATAGCGTTCCTAGCACAGTCTAATGTGAAGATTAAGAAACTAAAGACTGTTGCACTCATAGCACAGTCTAATGTGGAGATTAGGAAACTAAAGACTATAGCATTCCTAGCACAGTCTAATGTGAAGATTAGGAAACAAAAGACTATAGCACTCATGGCATAGTCTAATGTGAAGATTAGGAAACTAAAGACTATAGCACTCAGGGGGTCAGGGGTGTGGGGTGAGGGGTGGTGAGTTTTCGGAAGCATTTCCTAAGTTCACTCTTCGTCTCTGTGACCACGTCACGCTTGCCCTCAGGTCTTGGTGATCCTGGGTCAGAATTGGTCCCCTGGACACTTCTGAATTCACATTTAACTTCATGCCACAACCTCATCGGATAAAAACTTGTTCAACGACCCTCTGCGATTATCATATTAATAGGTTACTTTTTCATACTCTGAATCATCTCCTAATCCCAAACTATTTGTGTATTAGCGGAATATTGTGTCTGAGATGTATCGATTGATCGAACTATCGATTTATCTCCATTGTCAACGCTCCGACAATACATCGATGACAAATACAAATGTCAACAGTTAAGATCGATGCCGCCCCACACAATCGATACTATCAATAGACGTATACAAATAATGTAAATCATAAACATAAGTTATGGCCAGAAAACCAAAGGTTGATATTATTAACCACATACCACGTGGGTTCGGTACGACGACACGCAACCAACCAAGTCGCAGAACCGTATGTTATCGCATGATGAATAAACTTCTTATGAAATTGTTAATTCTCTATTGTTTGTTTGTTTTAGTTGGTTGTTTAACTCCGGATTCAGCAATATTCAAGCCATATGACGGCGGTCTGTAAATAATCGAGTCTGGACAAGACAATTCAGTGATTTACATCATGAGCATCGATCCACGCGTACGCAATTGGGATAAGATGATATGCATCAACCAAGTCAGCGAGCCTGTCCACCCGATCCCGTTAGTCGCCTCTTACGACAAACATGGGTTGCTGAAGACCAATTGTCACCCGGTTCTTTACGGTTTATTTCTCTATTGCATTATTTAAAAATTATCGGTTTAAAATACATGTAGAACTATTTATAATGACTTCAGTTCAGGGAGGGGCAGCAGCCACTTTGTTATCCCCTTGGAAATTTGAGTGGTGACGAATGACGCACTAGCTGCTATTGTTATAGACGCATCCGGGCACTTCTCATCAACGAGGTTGAAGTCAAATTGTGAAGTGGTTAAGTAATCAAGTGAACAGGGAAGGTAATTCAGCCATACTTCTCTCTTATCCAACCCCTCGACGAGCGTGATTGAGTGAGTTTGACGCCGTTTTGAACAGTATATTAATAACATCAAGTCGTGTCAGCTTAATGTAGGAGGAAAGCTCGAAAGGATGCATTTCTAAGACGTTTACCACTTTGATCAAACCCACGGGCACTGGCACGGTGCTGACAAACTTACAAACATAATCAGCGATCACAGGTTTCTTGAAGCAACA